TCTTCTGTGTTTCTTGACGTCGATTTCATGATTCTCTGTTGGTTCAGGGACCTAAATTACCGTGGATGGTTGGAGAGGAAGATGATGTATCAGCTTTACATGTAAACGATCTTATCCCTTCATTACCTTAAACCCTTTGCTTCTTGAGAGACTTGCAGCACTTTTAGTCCTTTTGCGCTCAAGGGTGGGTCAGCAGTTCTGCTGGCATTTCTGTTTTAGTTCCTCATGGAAGACTCGTTTACCATACAAAAAAATTAACAGAAACATGCATCCTTTGTAAATGGTAGATCAAGAAATCGTATATCCGAGGAAGTTCCTAGCACAGACCTTTTCTAGGATATTCTATTGTGGATGGCAGGTCTGTACCTGATTTTCAATCAATTGGTAGTCTTCACCCTGCCATGCTGGATACTCAACAATGTTCTATTCATTTATGATCATTATTGGTAGTTTTTCTTTCATTTCTCTTCCGTTTTGTCAATACTAGTAACTATTTATGAGCTACAAACATGAACCAAGAAGCAAATTGAATAGCAGGATGAACCATGCGAGCAAATGGGCGAGAACCGTATGGTCCAGTTTCTAAAAGGTCTTCTCTAGGGGGTAGTTGTTGACTCTATTTTAAACAGAAATGCCTTTGATTTTGACTCTATTTTGGAAATTGGACCATGTTAGATGCCAGGTTCTTGTCAAAACATGTAAGTCCTTCTACCATTAATTTTCTCGAGTATAACTTTTTAGAGATAATCTGTGATCAATTTTGGTTAACATTTAATTTTATTTTATAATATATGATCATATTTAGTCATTGTTGACTGAGAACATACAAGATAAGATGCCACCGAGCTATATGGTGAACCTTTTATAAATTCAAGCAGGAGAGGCAAAGTGCCTTGCATGACTGTATAATTACTTGAAACATTGCTCTTCAATTCCAATTTATACTTCTATAATAACAATTATATTATGTATTTCTTAAGAGAATTTTTTTTAATCCAAACTGCATTCTTCTGTCGGATTACAAAATTATAAAAACACCCTCAATAAATCAAAACAAAAAGAAGAATCATCAAGAGGATTTAAATACTTGCCCAAACTGCACTTTTCTTGGGCAAATCGAAATCAGTAAGAAAGGTTATTGATAAATTTTAATTAATTCCATAAATAAGGAAAGAGACAGCTTACTTTGAACTCCAGCTATGAAGAGGATTGATGCCACAAGAAAGCAGAAAATAATAAGAGAAAATCGGTCCATTTTTGGCAGGTAAGATTTTTTACTTCGGTACCATCCGTTACGGGTATATATATAGTTCTAGCAACGTGTAGTGCGCGCGGGGAAGTTTGACCCAACTAACACGGTTAGGGTCGGAACTTGTTGATACCCCACACGAACTAATTAACTTTTTGCTGTCCCAAAAGGGAAAAGAAACTAATTATGATTGTGATATGTTAATAAAAGCAAAAGTGATTTTTGTTTCTTGACTGGGTACGTTGAGCATGTTGACCAGATTGGAAATGTTTCATGGCTACTGTAGAGTTAATTTGGACCAAGTCATACTCAGATCAAACGTATGAACACATGAATTTTCCAAAGATGGTGAGGGTCAAAACAATTCAGTTTTTTTTTTTTTTTTCTCTAATTGTGGCTATGGACATGCATGCAAAACAAGATGGCTTAACTAATCAAGGCTTGAGCAACAACAATTCGTTGCTCACATGGGACTTTATACAGTATGAAATGTTAGGTTGGGCCAAAAACTGCATAGGAACTAGAAACGTATAGAATGTCATGTACCCACAGAGTACATAACAAATGAGATGTTGTAGCTAAAATGGGAAATAATAGGGATCAAATCAAGGATTTTTTGAGTTGAGGGATTTAATCGGGCATCCATACAATAGTTGAGAGATTAAATTAGGGGTTTAACCATGAATTACTTATTTTAAGTGTAAATAAGATTTTATTTGGTAGATCAAGTGCAAATGAGATGTTCATATGTTTTTTAGTTCTTATAAAAGTTTCAAAAAACTAAAATTGATTACCTCAATAACCACAACCATATCAGCTATGTTTTCTTTTTTTTTTTTTTTAACATTGAGGGTGGGATTTGAATCTCATACCTGCCAAACGTAGCATGAAAAATCCTTTACAATTGAGAGGTGGCCGCTAGACCACAAGGACATTCTCATATCAACTACATTTAAAGCAGATTTAGCTAAAAAAAAAAAGAGAAGTTGATGACACAAACTTCTCCCAACTAACAAGTCTAAAAAGACTTAAGAACAAAACTTAAGTCATACCTCCCACATTCTAGCTTAAGTACCAAAAGAAGAAGTCTCTTTTACATCCTAAATTCCATAATACTTGTAGACAATCATTGGCTAATGCTACGACCATATGATATATTCTTTTGATTAAAAAGATATTGGAACTGAAAAATTATAAAATTAATTATAACTTTAGAAATAAATCAAGTATCATAGATGGTTGGATTATCGTATTAAAATGCTAAAGTATTATAGCATACAAAGTGCAGATTTTGGCATGGCACATGTGACAAAAACCAAAAATCATATTAGCCCTCAAATACTCCAACCATTGAATCTAGGATTTTGGATAACATGATGAAATATTCTTCAAAAATATCTTTCAAATTTTTTAGTAATAAGAAAGATCCTTTATAAAATATTAAACCAAATACCATTTAACTATTAAAAGTAATAATAGTTTGTTTGATATCAAAAATCAAAATGACACAGGGCTATATCCTTCCAACCTTTAATTTGTTTGATTGATTTACAATATTAATAAAAATTCTTGCAAAAAAAAAAAAAAAAAGAAGATTAACTAAGTTGGGAAATAGCAACAGAGTATAGCTCCAATCAAACGTATCAATCAGTTCTTCGGTTTCCTAAATTTGCAAATATCAATCAACCAAATACAGATTTATAAACTTGTAAGAAAAAGTTAAACAGAAGATATTAGCACAGACAATTTATAGCCATAAGGTAACTTTAAAGTTTAAACATTAATTAGTGCCCTGATAGTTGGCCCCGAAGTCAAGACAGTAAAAAACATAGCCATCTCATGTTTGAAACTTTAATAAAACAGGTTAAAATAACAACTACATATGAACCTTGTGTACTTCTACAAAAGAAGGAAAAAAAAAAAAAACTCCTGCAAGAAGCTTTTCTCAAGTTTCTTTGAAGAGTCACTTAGTTTGATACTTGAACCAGCTTAATTATGTTAATGAGGATTAAAAAAAAAAAAAAACTGCCTTAGGAAACCTTTTTCCAAATTTTTTATTATTACCATTATTCACAAAAAGTTAGTGGAAAATATAAATCATTTAGAAGTTGTGAAGCATTAGCTAAATGAAATCTTTTTTTTTTTTTTTATCAGCAAAAAGAAATTTATTAAATGGACTACAAGGGGTACTCCTGCCCACTTACAAAATTAAAAGAGAAATTAAACCAACAAACTCCCTAGCTAACACACCATATAGTATAAGATCTAAAGAACACCCAATAAGAAGATAACAAATTAGGCCATTAGAAACCCCTTGCTGCAATGCCTGTAAGGAATCACATTACCCATCCCCAACGAATCTTGCAATAGCACAAACACAGCACACTGAAATTGAGCTCTATCCTCATAATCCCCCCTGGTTCAGCACTTGATACATCTTCTTATATTTCTTTAGATTCCTGCCATGTTGAACTATGGTCCTCTTGCACTTCGACGGTCGTAAATTCCAATCTGTATAGGAAAAACTGCAGCCTTGTTCCTTGCTTTTCAGCCAAAAAAAAAAAAAGATTTAGACTGAATAGAATCCAATATTCGCTCTTCGAACCTTTCACCTACCCCAAACACTTTCAAATTTCTCCAAAACCAAACATACCAAGTAGTAACCAAAAAAATAAGAGTCCCTAACTCCGTCCAACATCCCCCGTTGATTCCAAGCACCACAACATCCGCCAATCCGAAGACATCTTTTGGCAAAGCACTCTGTACCCCCCACCAACCTAAAACCTTCATCCAAACCAACCAAACTGCTTTCAATCACAAAAAATATGCTGGAGTTGCTCGACACCCTCATGGCAAAGCCCACAACAAACATTCCCCCCTGGTATAACAACCCCTCTTCGACACAAGTTATCCTTTATGGCTAACCTGTTCAAAAATAATCTCCACCCAAAAATACTCAATTTGGAAGGAACATAATTACCCCAAATAACCCTAGACCATTTCTCATCCAAAATAAAACATTTCGATGATAAAAAGTCATAAGCCTTCTTAATTTGCCGAATATACACCATCAGCACTATGTATCCAGCTCCAAGAATCAACCTCTCCCCTATGCAACTTGACCCTATTAATTAACTCCCTAAACTGTTCTTCCTCCCCCACTCCCCTCCCTACACAACCTCGCCTCCACCTACAATCCCATATCCAATTTTCAGCACTCCAATACCCCATATCCTTTAACTGTCCTTCCCTACTATTAGCTAGTGCATACAACCGAGGGAATAGATTCCTTAAAGGGTTATCCCCCACCCATTTATCGTGCCAAAAATCTACACAACTCCCATTCCCAACTTTCCACTTAAAGCCTTTTCCTAACATTGCATCTAACCTTTCCGACCCTCTTCCGAGACCCATAATGTCCTTCCACACACTTGACATATTCCAAGTCACAACTGATGTAACATCAGCCTCCTTTCTACCCCCATAATATTTCTCCCAAAGAACCCGCTTCCATAAACCATCAACACCATCACCTAGCCTATACCACCATTTTCCCAACAAACTACAATTCCTCCTCTCAAAATCATCACCTAGCCTATACCACCATTTTCCCAACAAACTA